ATAATTTATCACTCTGTCCCACTATAGCCAATTTAGGGCACTGAATAAATTGTTAGATTATTAGAATTTTTATTGTTTTTTTAAAGAAAACGTATTTCCAATCACAAAATTTTATTGTCCTTTTATGTTGTTGAAAAAATGATGCGGCCAAGGAAAAGAAACATTTTTTTTTTTAAATTTCCGCATCAATATTTCCCAATTTTGTTGAAGCGGGCTGGAGTGATGATCTAATGATTTTTTTTTTGTATAGGCATAATTATGATCTGTTCATTGTGCGTTCGATTTTGATAATGATAGGAATGATAGGAGCACTGTATGATCATTGTGTGCCAAAATATATAGATGATTAACATAAAAAGTATGATGCCGTTTATTTTTACAATACTGCTATTGTTTCTAAAATTTGGTGGAGTAATGTAGTTCATGTGGTTATCATTGGAAAGTTATTGATCTATTAGTAAATTCTATAATCTGGTTGTTGTACGCATATAGACATATTTTTTACATTTTTGATTTTATTTCTTTATTCATGTTCTTTGCAATTCATGACAAAGTAAACTCAATCATACATATTCAAAAACAGAGAGAGAAAAGGACCTCCACGAAACTCTTAGGAGCTTTTAAAATGGAGACCCGGTGTTAAAATTAAAGTTTGTTTAGACATAAAGACAGTATATAACTGCCTAACTAAAAAGATACACCCCCTCTCACCCCAACAGTCATATTTATTTGATTTACATTTATTTTGAACATTGTCATTAGGACATTGTTTAAATCCACACTAGCCAGAGACGTTCATTCCCATTACATTATGGTCTTCCATTTCTATAGCGCATAATACAGTGCATGACAAACGTCACATAACCACTTATAATTCCACCTTAATTCTTAAAAAAGCTCAGTCTTACATGTGTAAATGTTCGTATTGACACTGTGTTTTTAGCATTGTTTTAAAGTAATAACCTATCAGACATTTACATGAACAACAAAACGAATGGCAACTATGGTTGCGGCTCATGTGAGAACATTTTGAGAAGTTGAGACTCGTTAGATGCACAAAAAGGCACTTGAATAGTACAAAAGTTACGATATCCACCTGAGCCCCACCATGGTTTTGGGGCGCAGATGAGTCAATTACAAGAATTTAATACTTTATAGATGCCCCAAACAAAATTCGGATACTTAAAATTTATGAAAATTTTAATCCATCATTTTAAGAATTAGAGACTTTTAGATGCAGGAAAATGGCAAATACATAAAAACAACAAAAAGTACTATATCCACAAAGGCCTATCCCCATCATGGAGGTGAGAAAATGTTAAAAATTGGCGAATTTTGATGCCGGAAAATGGCAATGTCCTACATAAAAACTAGGAAAATTACTATATCCACCTGAGCCCCGTCATGTTTGAGGCTGCATGAGATAAAGTTGGAGAATGGCACTTTAATACTTAAAAGTTATGTTGGTTATTTTTTAACATTTGAAAAGGGGATGTCAATGGGAAGCAACTGCCAAAAAACTTGGCAGCGAAAGGACGCTACCAATAAACAATCAACAAACTACCGGGTTTCTGGGTTGATTTCCAAGGTACTACATGGCTGAACTATATTTTACTTTAGGGTTAATTGGTAAAAATAGCACACAAATCATACGACGTCACTGACAACGCCGGGGACGGCAACTCGATCTTGAGATTAATTTTCCGAATAAAGTTATACTAAATAACTTCTAATGACTTCAATTGTCTTTGTTGGTCAATCAACTGTCATTTTATCTATTTTTTCGGTGATATTACTATTCTCTATAACCTATAAAACACCCACATAACAACGTCACGTTAAAACGATGGGTGGAGACACCGTGGGGACGCCGGTAGGGTCAATTTTCGTCGGAAGGTATCAAGATTATAAACAGTTTCATTGGACTAAATTCTTGCTTAAGTTAACCACATGCTTACCGTACCTATTATACTGACACTGGTTTCTAATCACGGTCAAGTAGTTAAACATCACCTAAAATCACCTTATTTTGCGAATTAGCGCCCCTCAACTGATCATCGAGCCCCCCACCACTTCAGCTTCGCCCCCAATCATCCCCCACCCCATTTAAAGACATCTAGATACGCCACTGACTTACATGGCCAGATGAATGAAAATACTACCACCAAATTGTAACCAGCCTTCATCATGCACTCACTATGTCACCGGGGACGCAACTGCCAAAAAACTATTTTAGTGGCAGCGAGGACGCTACCAATAAACAATCAACTAACTACGAGGCTTCTGGATTGATTTGCAAGGTACTACATGGCTCAACTGTTTTTTACTTAGGGGTTAATTGGTAAAAATCGCACACAAATCATACGACGTCACTGACAACGCCGGGGACGGCAA